ATAATTACTTCGTTCTCTTTAATATATGGGTTGGAAATAAAATAAAAATATACTGTTTGCTCCTGTAGAACTAGCACGTGTTGTGTAGACGATGGCACGAATAGCACAAAAGAATCATGTACATTTAATTGTATATTTTAGCCCGAGTNACATGAAGCACAGTTATTCTAGAAACTTGATGATGTTTCTGAGGTTTAGATAAAATTCACTTTTTAGGAGTAAACGCTAATTAAAAATGGAAACCATTTTTTTTTCATTGCCACGTTTTTATGTGCATTTTTTTTCTAAGCGTTGAGATAATTTAGCAACACATCAATGAAAGAATTTTGCTCGTCGTTCTAATGTTTCAACAAAGTTTATAATCTGTTGATTTTCCTGTAGCTTAATATTCAACAGACACGAAATTAATGCATTTTACGGCCGTCACTGCGTGGATCGCTACCATCACGGCGGTGCAGTCACTGCACACTTCACTGCATGGATCGCTACCATCACGGCGGTGCAGTCACTGCACACTTCACTGCATGGATCGCTACCATCACGTCGCTGCAGTCACTGCACACTTCACTGCATGGATCGCTACCATCACAGCAGTGCAGTCACTGCACACTTCACTGCATGAATCGCTACCATCACGGCGGTGCAGTCACTGCACACTTCACTGCGTGGATCGCTACCATCACAGCGGTGCAGTCACTGCACACTTCACTGCGTGGATCGCTACCATCACAGAGAGCAGACTTTCTCGGTCCGGCGAGGCTGGGCAGCGGTTGCCCAACTTCTTCTTTTGCCTGAAAATCCGGACTTCTTGCGCACATAATTTGAATGACTTTTTAAGCCAATAAAGAATAAGTTTTGACGAGAATACTGACAGGTTTTTGCTTGGGATTTGAAACATGAAGCACAGTTATTCTAGAAACTTGATGATGTTTCTGAGGTTTAGATAAAATTCACTTTTTAGGAGTAAACGCTAATTAAAAATGGAAACCATTTTTTTTTCATTGCCACGTTTTTATGTGCATTTTTTTTCTAAGCGTTGAGATAATTTAGCAACACATCAATGAAAAGCACTGATTAGACGCTAACGAGGCACTGATTATACGCTAACGAGGCACTGATTACACGCTAACGAGGCACTGATTAGACGCTAACGAGGCACTGAATCGTTTTAGACGTTGACAACTCTAATCACCAGACCAAAGCTATTTAATGCTCTCACGTTATAAAAGGTTATGACAATAAACACTATTAGTACTAAGAACAATGTGGTACCGAAAACACTATTAATAACACTACGGATGAACTTTGAATGTATCCGTATAATTACTTCGTTCTCTTTAACATATGGGTGGGAAATAAAATAAAAATATACTGTTTGCTCCTGTAGAACTAGCACGTGTTGTGTAGACGATGGCACGAATAGCACAAAAGAATCATGTACATTTAATTGTATATTTTAGCCCGAGTCAACTCATTCACTATCAATGATGAACAAATTATTTACCTTAAATTGAACATAATGTGAACGTGGCCAGCGCTGCTGGACCTTACACTGTCATATATATTGAAAATGTAGATAGATTCTTCAGGCAAACTAGTATAGTTTCTTCAGGCATGAAATGCTTCAAGTGGCTTACTTAGAGCTCAAGTAACAATAAGAATCCTGCAGCAATGCTACGTTATTTTTGGACCGTTTTGCAGTAATCCTAAACCTATTTCCATAGCAGGCGTACAGCGATCCTGCACAAGTCCTAAATTTATTTTTGCTGTAATCCTGTAACACCCTTTCAGTAAACCTAGACTTATTTCCATAGCAAGCGTTCAGCGATCCTGCAAAAATCCTAAATTAATTTTTGCTACAATCCAACCGCAATCCTAAAGTAATTCCTGCAGCAACCCTGCGGCACCGGGCCCAGCCTGCCCTACTTCACTGCCTCCATTAACACTTTTTATAAGAGCCCTCGAAGCTTACGGTGCCTCATGACCAAAGCAAAAAGTATAGGCGCTTTATGTGCGGCCATTGCACGGCCGCGTCTTCATTTGCTGGTCATCTTCACCAAGCCCAACCACTTAATTTTGTACTTAAAATTTCCCCCTAAGCATCGTCGATAATATGCAATTATCTTCTTCTTATTTACCGCGCAATAGATTCCGTTACTTCATAGTAGGTTATTAATATTCAGGAGACGGTCGGCCTCGGCTGGGAATAAATTTTGCGGATGTTAGTTGCATAATAATGCTATTCGTACGAGCGATATCGATAACATGTTCCAGGACAACCGGGATATTCAAGATAAAAGTTTCATCATTCAGAACATATTTGATGGTCTGTGCCGGTATGTAGTGAATAAGCGTATAATGATTATTGTCTGTTCGAACTTATTACTTTAAAAACATTCTTGAATTATGAAAATATATTATATTTTCAATGGCTATCGACAACAGTTATCACTAGTGGGTCACTGTCATTTTCAGCCGCTGAACCGAACGACAACCTCTCCACTTAACAGCCTCCTCGCCACTGAGGAGCAGACTTTCTCGGTCCGGCGAGGCTGGGCAGCGGTTGCCCAACTTCTTCTTTTGCCTGAAAATCCGGACTTCTTGCGCACATAATTTGAATGACTTTTTAAGCCAATAAAGAATAAGTTTTGACGAGAATACTGACAGGTTTTTGCTTGGGATTTGAAACATGAAGCACAGTTATTCTAGAAACTTGATGATGTTTCTGAGGTTTAGATAAAATTCACTTTTTAGGAGTAAACGCTAATTAAAAATGGAAACCATTTTTTTTTCATTGCCACGTTTTTATGTGCATTTTTTTTCTAAGCGTTGAGATAATTTAGCAACACATCAATGAAAGAATTTTGCTCGTCGTTCTAATGTTTCAACAAAGTTTATAATCTGTTGATTTTCCTGTAGCTTAATATTCAACNGTGTATATATACTGTCAAGAGTTCCAGTGTATATATACTGTCAAGTGTTCCAGTGTATATATACTGTCAAGTGTTCCAGTGTCTATATACTGTCAAGTGTTCCAGTGTCTATAAACTGTCAAGTGTTCCAGTGTATATACACTGTCAAGTGATCCAGTGTATATATACTGTCAAGTGTTCCAAGTGTCTATAAACTGTCAAGTGTTCCAGTGTCTATATACTGTCAAGTATTCCAGTGTATATATACTGTCAAGTGTTCCAGTGTCTATATACTGTCAAGTGTTCCAGTGTATATACACTGTCAAGTGTTCCATTGTATATACACTGTCAAGTGTTCCAGTGTTCCAGTGTATAATACTGTCAAATGTTCCAGTGTCTATACACTGTCAAGTGTTCCAGTGTCTATATACTGTCAAGTGTTCCAGTGTCTATACACTGTCAAGTGTTCCAGTGTATATACTGTCAAATGTTCCAGTGTATATACTGTCAAGTGTTCCAGTCTATATACTGTCAAGTGTTCCAGTGTCTATACTGTCAAGTGTTCCAGTGTCTATATACTGTCAAGTGTTCCAGTGAATATACTGTCAAGTGTTCCAGTCTATATACCTACTGTCAAGTGTTCCAGTGTATATACTGTCAAGTGTTCCAGTCTATATACCTACTGTCAAGTGTTCCAGTGATTAACTGTTGAACATTCGCTCCCATATTTCGTAGTTCACTAATTCTTTCTGTTATTTTATTTCGTATGAAATCATTTTCACCATTTCCGTGCACCGCAAGCGTGCCGTGCTGTGGCCAGTAATGCTGTGGTTCACTGCACTGCAAATTTCGATTAATTTTTCTGAAAATTAATATATTCAACAGGCCTCAGGTTGGCCGAAATATTTTCTGGATGTAAAAACTGCTTTGACATTTTTTCAACAATTAACTTGTACCGAGTGTCAAAATATGACTTCGTCGTCTGTTAATTTAATAGAAATTTTATTTCGACTTGTATCAAGTTTCCTCCATGCAAAATTATGATATATGCCGGAAAAATTTCTTGTCATAGTCGATCATTAATGACGACGAAATCTCCTTTTAACGTCAAGTGAAAGCTTTCTCAAGCTACAATTTTTATATTATAGGAAGAAGTAGACATTATGCTTCTACGTAATAAGTAAATTTATAAAGATATAGATATATATAATTTTGTAATTGATATATATATATGTACAAATATGTACATATTATATACAGATGGTATTTTGAACATTCCGGTGAGAACCAAAAAAATCTATTATTTAAATCGTAAATTCATGAACAAGGATGTAAATTAAGAACAACTAAAATAAATCCTTTATTTGTGATATAACTAATTTTTTCTGTGCAAGCAGTACAAAAATAATATCCAGTTAAGGTTACATGAAGTTATAGTGTAAGTGCACCAAAAGTTGGGGAACGAGACATTACCCTATAAAAAATATATATCTCATTTACTTACTAACTGTAGGTTCACCTAGCCCAGTAAATAAATCAAAGTAAGTAAGCTGCTATATATTCATCTATCCCAGTAAGTAAGTCTAAGTAAATAAGTTACGAAGGATTTACTTACCGCAGTAAGTAAATCTAAGTAAGTTAGTTACGAAGGATTTACTCACTACAATTAGTTAATAAATAGATTAATAAATAATATGTAAGCAAAGACCCGCCATTTCATATCAGCTCACTCCAAAGAAGCAAAGAAGTATGGAGAAGAGTATTGAAGAAAGTTCAAAATAAAATTTATAAAGTTTATTGTAAAGATGATAACGATGAACAAGGGAAGATTGTATGCCCCCCGCCCCCCCCCCACTTGCTGCTTTGGGGGGTTAGTGATCCCACAGGAAGGATCTGTGTTCCTAAGGATAGTTGGTGCCCCCCAGGAGGGGCCGGTGCCCCCCTATAGGACCCCTAGGACCCCTAGGACCCCTCTAGGACCCTTGGGACCCCTCTAGTACCCCTAGGACCTATAGGACCCCTAGGAGCCCTAGGACCTCTAGGACCCATAGGACCCCTATAGGACTCCTAGGACCTATAGGACCCCTAGGACCTCTAGGACCTCTAGGACTCCTCTAGGACCCCCGTCCTACGCCAGCGTCCTGAGCAGCGCACAGACTCCTACGAGCAGCGAGGACGCTGCCAGTGTCCCGACTCCGCCTGTTTGAAATTATATATTTATTAGCAAAATTCTCAATAATATTATAGAAACTGCTAAAGGTAAAATGGATGACAAGTTTTTTATTTGATTTTTATTCCATGTTATTCATAATGGCTGTATATACAGTATGTAAATAACTGCATATTGGAAATTCGAATACAAATATATTTTAATAATTAAATGCGTAGTCTTTTGATATTTGAGAATTTATCAATCACATAAATTATTGAACTTCTTTACTTGAATGCATAGTTTTTCAATACATCAGCAAAAATTTATTAATCATAATAATCAATATTATTTATTGATCAACGACTCAAACTTCATTCCTTAAATGCATAGTTTTTCAATAAATCAGCAGATATTTATTAACCATACTAATCAATATTATTTATTAATCAGCGACTCACTCTCGCCCATGTCAACATCGTCGACGAGGTCTCCCTCAGACGTGACCTCATCGTCAGCCATGGTCGTGCTCTCAGTCACGTCCTCAGCGAAGGTAGCGTTCCCTCCCTCAGACATCGAGGACTTGAGCAAGTCCTCGATGTCCGAGGGCTGGAGGACCGCCATGGGGACGGGCTCTTCGGTCTCCGAGGGCGGGGTGTCCGTAGAGTCCCCGTCGGGGGCGGCGCCCCCCGGACAGTATAGGAAGTTGATCTTTTTGATGTCGCCCTGTAGGGGAAATACAGAAATATTTATATATTACTTCAAGATTAATTCAGTGCGACTTAAATTGGTCTAAAAATCAAATACCGAAGTTCGAGATAAATTATGGATGATTTAATTAGGTTTAACAGGAATTTAAAAGCAAAGAAAACGACAAAAAATTCATTATATCTGCAATGAAAGCGCCCAGTCATAGTTAAATGGATCTAAATATCACATAACGAAACATTGGCTGCATCAATTATGATTTTAAGTTTCGTTGCATAAAATATACCGAATTATTCTCTGCATTAATCGTGATTTAAATTCGGTGTTTGGCTACACTCGACAAACCGCCATCTCCAGATGATGCACATGAACTGCGTTAATTTTTTATATGTTTTCTGAGTTCTGGTAAATATTCTTCAAGTTCTGTACCTGGCGCCATACTTTCAAAACTCGCTAAGTTAATGTAAGAACTTACGCTCTGTTTTCTTATCTCTTATTGGTGGGTTTTGCTTGAAAGGCCGGCAATGATTGGCTAATGAACTTACGATCTCTTAACTTTTTTTGAAAGTATGGCCCCTGGAGAGGTTCTAGGCCGAGAATGGTTCTATACCGGGAAAAGTTCTATACCGGGGAGGGTTCTGTACCGAAAAGGGTTCTGTATCAAAAAAAATTCTGTACACAGAAGGGTTCTGTACCGGGAAGGGTCCTGTACCGGGCAGGGTTCTGTACCGAAAAAGGGTTCTGTACCGGGAAGGGTTCTGTACCGGGCAGGGTTCTGTACCGAAAAAGAGTTCTGTACTGAGAAGGGTTCTGTACCGGGCAGGGTTCTGTACCGAAAAAGGGTTCTGTACCGAGAAGGGTTCTGTACCGGGCAGGGTTCTGTACCGAAAAAGGGTTCTGTACCGAGAAGGGTTCTGTACCGGGAAGGGTTCTGTACCGGGGACAGGACGTTGTCCGCAGAGGGTTTGATGGGGTTGGCTGAGGGGTCCTTGGGCTTGAGCCCCACACGCAGGATCTCTGCGTCGTGTGAGGTGATGTGAGCCGCAGACTGCGTGTCGTACGGAAACTCCAAGTCTAGCTTCGTCACCCGATTCTGCGGCCATATTGTTCATGATTAAACTTCGTTTATATTATCGTAATAATAATAGCTGTTTCAGCGTCTAGTAGGCTGTAGGCCTGTCGCCGATTCTTACCACCGCAGAACATTCACAGCATTTTGAGGTCTCGAACTCGCAACTCACTGCTACAATTCTGCTGTGCTTAACCGCCCGGCCTCCTGCCGATGCTGGCGCATAGAGAGCTGGGATCGAACCCGCGCCTCTCTGCGCCAATCCTGGTACTCTGAACTATAACCACTGGGCCGTGAGTTGCATCTAATTTTTTAATGATTTGATATGTCATATTTTAATAAAAAATTGATAATAATACTATCACTTGCATGTTGTTCATCATCCGAAAAATCAAATAATTAAAATTTGTATATAAAATTTGCACATCCTTCATCATTGCAAGAATTGAAGCCTAAAAGTTGCATTTTCTCTGAACTTCTGGTGGATAATGTTGGAAAAACCCTCAATCAACGCTGATTCAAACAAACATATTTTTAATTCAATGTTGAATAACCTAACAAATTTTAATTCAACGTTGATTCAACGCCAAATGTTACGTTACCAATTCTGTGCAACAAATTTTCAATTCAACGTTGATTCAACATCAAATGTTACGTTACCGATCTTCTGAAACAAATTGTAATTCAACGTTAATTCAACATCAAATATTACGTTACCAACCTTCTGGAAGAAATTGTAATTTAACGTTGATTAAACATAAAATGTTTTGTTACTAACCTTCTGGAACAAATATTTAATTCAACGTTAATTCAACAATAAATTTTCAACGTTGATTCAACATAAAATTGTCAACGTCAATTTAGCAATAAAATTTCCATTGTAGATTTAGCACCAAATTTTCAACGTTGATTCAACATCAAATGTCACGTTACCGATCTTCTGGAAGATCCTTCGTTTCATAGGATCCTCTTCAGTGACCTCAAGTTGTATGAAATTGTCCCTGTCGTATCTGTTCTCCTCTCTTGCTGACTCAACATCAAATATTATTATATATACTAACCTTCTGGAAGATCCTTCGTTTCATAGGATCCTCTTCAGTGAAGTTACTAACCTTCTGGAAGATCCTTCGCTTCATAGGATCCTCTTCAGTGACCTCAAGTTGTATGAAGTTGTCCCTGTCGTATCTGTTCTCCTCCCTCCTGATCCCCAGCACATACATGAGCGTCTGCATCACACCGGAGCTTCCCTTCTTCACATCCGCGTCCGTCCGCAGAAAATCTACGATGGTTCCGGAGTATCCGGGGTCTTTACCCTCGAGGAATTCCTTACCCGCGCCGGTAGAGTTACCGCTGTCGTCGTAAACTGGTAATGGTCTGTGGGGTGATAAGGGGTGAGGGTAATAATCTGCGGGGTGATACGGGGTGAGGGTAATACTTTGCGGGGTGAGGGTAATACTCTGAAGGGGTGTTACGGGGTGAGGGTAATACTTTGCGGGGTGAGGGCGATACTTTGTGGGGGTGAGGGTAATACTCTGCGGGATGATACGGGGTGAGGGTAATACTCTGTGGGGATGAGGGTGATACTCTGCGGGGTGTTACGGGGTGAGGGTAATACTCTGTGGGGTTACACGAGGTGAGGGTAATACTCTGTGGGGTGATACAGGTGACTCGATGATCGTATAGGTCATATATCGTTTAATTCAATGTAATTTTTAATTTAATTTGCTATATAGTTTAACTTAATTTGCTATATAGTTTAATTTAATTTGTAATGTCGTTTAATTCAAGCATTTTTAGCTTTTATTTCTGCCATCTAAGGGGCCATTCACCATGAAGCGACATTATTATACCACATTATTCATGTATAATCAACAAAATAGACCTTGTGACTTTTCTACGTTTTATTTCTTCTTTATGTTTATTAGCGGGAAAAACTGAAGAATCATTAGACATCAGCCCTCTAATGATTAATATAATTATAATTAATATTAGATATTAGACCACCAGCCTAACCCAACACAAGCACATTTTCATCATACCCATGACTTACTCACGATGTATGATTCTTAATTTATTTTTTGACATTCAATGGGTCAACCTGACTCAGTTTGTTCGCCGAAAGGGCATATCGTTCCTTATCGAAGGGCATATCAGCTGTGGTTAAGAAAGTGTGTCATTATGAGTACAATCTGATACATTGATTACTGTGAGTGGATGCGCCACTTCTTGACTCACTCTAGCGTCTTGACTCACTCTAGCGTCTTGACTCACTCTAGCGTCTTGACTCACTCTAGCGTCTTGACTCACTCCAACGTCTTGACACACTCTAGCGTCTTGACTCACTCTAGCGTCTTGACTCACTCTAGCGTCTTGACTCACTCTAGCGTCTTGACTCACTCAAGCGTCTTGACTCACTC